TTTTTATTTAAACCTTCTTTTTTTTTTTTTTTTTTTTTTTTTTCCTGTGTGTGTGTGTGTGTGGTTTTTGTTTCTCTGCGGAGTCTCACCGTTAGAGCAACTTCTTAATACTGTGGGAGAAATGCAAAGAAGCAAAGGCAGAGCCCAAGTTGCTATTCATTTGGGGGTTTTTTTAAATCGCTAGATCTATCACTTCGCGATGCTCATCCCATCCCTCTCCTCCATTTGACCGCACTACCGCTCTCGCTGCGATAGTCCCATTTCACCGCCGTGCCTTCGGGGCGCTCCCCGCCTGCCCCCCTGGCGCACCCCCGTCCCGGAGCGGCTGCCAAAATCGGTCTGTGCTCCGGGAGGCTTCGCTTGCTTGCTAAGAAGTGTAACTTTCTTTCCTCCCCTCCTGCCCCCGAAGTGGCGGCAGATGAATTGCGAAGCTGACAAGATATTGCTGCAGGGGGAAAACCCTCAATGTTTCCAATCACAGTAAATACAAAACAAAGAAGGCGAAGTCTGGAAGTCCCGTCCCCCCCCTCCCCCCCCCAATAAATCAGGTGCAATGTAGCGGCATGGAAAGGGCTGCAGACAGGCGGTGACGGATGCACATGGCATCGCGGGGCATTTGCACACAGCTGATGTGATGCCCAGAAGCGGGCCGGGCCCCCCTTGTCCCCGAGGTCAAACCCCGGCTCGCTTCCTCTCCCCGGGATGGTTGGTACTTTGCACCCGCCCCGGGCCAAGCTGCCGCCGCTGCCCCGGCCCGAGCCCCCGGGGCGCCAGCCCGCATGAGCCTGACTCCCCGCCGCCTTGCAGGGCGCGGGGCAGCGTGGCAATTCAAGCATTTTCTTGCAGAAAGGCGCCATATTCTCAATAGCTGGTGCTAACCCGTGTGTTTTGTGTTGTCTGTTTTGCAGAAAGCATGCACTGAACTGCCACAGGATGAAGCCTGCTCTGTTCAGTGTCCTGTGTGAAATCAAAGAGAAAACAGGTAAGAGCCCAGGCGGGCCGCGGCTCTGCCCAGCCGAGCAACGCGGGGCTCTCCTCCGGCTCGGGCTGCTCGGGGCACCGCAGCCATCTTTGATCATTGCCTCCTTCCCTGCTTCTCATCCCGGGGAGGGGAGAGGAGAGGGGAGGGGGGGTGCCATAAATCTGCAGCAAATTTTACAATTCATAATCCCGATGTAAAATGAAATGTAGATGAAAATGATCGTGTGTCACCGTCCGCAGAGTCCATTCCCCCTCTGGCTGCAATCAGGGAAGGAGCAGAGCAGCTGCCTTGTTTGTGTGGCAGCTTCTTAAAGGAGCGATGGGAGCTCGCAGAAGCCAATTGCAGAGTGAGAGCAAGTGAGCAGCCTGGCCGGCAACTTTCTCTTTGACTCGGGCCACCTTCTCGTGGAGCCCTGCAATTAGCGCAGGATCTGCCATAGGACACAGCCCTGACCAGGCAGGAAATGGGCTGGAGCCTTCTGAGTTGCTCAGGGACCTGCATGTGTCTCTAGAAATGTGTGCACAAATATATGCGTACCCAGACGTACGTTCCTGCGTATTATGACAAAAGATTTTCGCATCTTTATTCTGGAAGCGTTACCTCTTTTTGCCTTTTTGCCCATGGAACATGCTATCCATGTCCTGTCTGCAAACAGAAATCTGGCTTGCTTAGCAAACAAACAAAAAAAGGAAGATATAAAGAAACGGAAGTTTTCTGAATAGTGGATTTCAGCAGTAGGGAATAGTGAAAGGAGGAGATGGGGTTAATACCACGAAGTTGTGTATATTTATAGTACTTGGGATTTACAGCTGTGGGATCGCCAAAGTACATCCCATTTTAAAAGGATGCTGTTTTTAGAAGTCTAGTTATTTTGCTTGTGCCACACATTCAAATGTGTTAGCGGCTTAACCTAGGTAAATGATGTTTCTGCTATGACACCAACACCTAATGCTTATATAGTGCTTTTATTCTTCAAAGCACTTCACAAACATTTACCATGTATGCGATTCAAAAACACTTTATTCCTATAATACAGAACGTGCAAAGGGGACCAGTAAACTTTGTCAGCATTGACATGTCTGAATATACCGTTCGCTCTGGACGCATCTGATTTGAAGAGAAAACCTAACAAAAACTAAAACACTCTGATGCTGAGGACTTGGGAGTATTAAAGATTAGACTGTTTAAGGGTGAAGTTAAGAAGCGGTGGCAAAAGTGGTGAATGCTGTATGCCAATATTTGCTTGTAGTGACAACAGCAAAGCCTTTATTCTTTTTTATGAAGTCATATTTTAAGCACCAGATCTTTTTTTTTCTCAGCAATGCTGACAAACTAATTTCCCTATGCTATATGAAGAAGGCACACTAATAAATGCCTCCTGGTGTTTGGAGGGTTGTAGTAATTTTTCTGTTCTTTGACACCATTGATTTGGCATGGGGAAAATTAATAATTTCTTAGAAAGGAGGATTTGGCAAAGTATGGTATGTTCTTTTGTGAGAAGCAAAAAAAAATTGCTTATGGCCTAAGTTCAAACAAAATGGTAGGCTAGATTTTTAGTTACATCTGGAATTAAAGTATAGTCCTTTTAATTGCAGATTGACGACAAAAAATGTATGTGACTATGGAATAAGACATCAAACATTAAATCACAGGGAATCTTAGCTCAGGAGCCTAAAAATGCATAGTTCTCAGTAAATTATGTTCCTTAATGTCCAAGGGTTTCCTTTCTATCAGGGCTCCACTTCAGTTTTTGCTGACAGCTAAGCACTAGGGTATTGACTGTGTTGTGAATATTAAGATTGATTCTGCTTTATATTGCATTATATTACTATGGATAAGGGGAATAATTCCCCCCATACACACACATTTCGCCTTGATTGCTGTTCAGATCCCTTCTTCCCTTGTTCAGTTTGTATTTGTGTTCTTGCCTTTCTCTAAAGTTTTTGCCCAGACAGCTCCAGAGCTAACTAAGCAACCTGCCCCTGGTGTTTAGACATTTTGCAGCAGGCAGATTTCAATTAAGAAGGCAGGCGTAGGTCCTGCGATCACTTATTTGCACAGGGTTTAGCTTCACTGTTTTGAAAGAAAAGTATAGTCCACCACATGTCAGAGGTGAGTTGAGAAGAAAAAACAAGTCTTTTCAGAGACAGGGATTACTGGCAGAGGGGGTTTGGTGAGGCCTTTGCTGCTTCAGAAGCAAGAAGGAAACAGACAAGGGAAGAGATTTTGCGATTTGAAACGTTTTGGGGTATTTCAATGATAACTTGTAAGTTGAGATCCTGCTTTTGTGTCCCGACTAGTGGAGCCAAGTTTGCAAGTTATCTCTTTTGTAAAATAGCTAAGAACCAACAAAGAGTGAAGGCGTCTGTCTGGCCAAAGGCGAGATCCTGCCAGCCCCAGCAACACGGGAGGGATAGGATTAATGCACTGAGTGATTGATGGAGATGAATCCACCCCCTCTAAAACTGTTCCCATAGGGGGACATTCACTCAGGATCTCCTAGTTGAGATGAAATGGCTGTATAGACTTCAGTAAGTGTTACCAACGCAAAGCAAATGTGGAAGCAAAATCTAGCATATTTTCTCTCATCTGTATCCATGAGAAACAGTGCAAATAGTCATTTGTTTCCAAAGACTTCTGAACTTGTAGGGTGAACAGCTTGGGATGCAGTTAGAGGGGTTTTTTTCTCCTCCAGTTTGTCTTCACTGGATTTTACTCTAGATAATCTAGTTTAGCTGCAACTGGAATGTGCTTCTGTATTTAATTCTTCATCATCTGAGGCAAAGTGTACCTTGGTGCTAGTAACAGGAATTACGATGATGACTTTATCAGTACCGAGTTTAAAAGAGAGTATCTTGCCCATGCATAAAGTGTAATATCAATCACTTTTCCTGAAATAAGTAATGCAACCACAAGTTACTTTTTGTGTTTACTTGCACTCATTTCCAATACTCCACTACTGTTCAGTGCAGCCAGGGAGGACTTTCTTATTTCAGTAGATGGAGAATGTTTGCTGGAGTCCCCATTTTCAGGTGAGGCAAACATATCAGATCCCCTACACATTTCCCTCCAGGGTTAGTGGATGCATTATATTTATTAAAGGTTTTCTCTTTTACTCAAGGATGAGGAACTGAAGAGGGGTTGTGTTTTTTTTCAGTGAGGTATTTCTTGCGTTTAAAGGAATTCACCAGCTGTACAAAATCTAACCTGTAATTTATTTTGAAGTTTAAAAATAGTGTTTGCTAAACTATCGCTTTTTCTTAAGTGTTGATATACCCAGATCCCCTTTCCTAGAGACAACCACCAGGTACCAGGGTTTTTCATAAAGATAGCTAACTGCCACTTATTTAGTTACAACAAAGAAAAATGAGCCCCAAAGTTTTCCTGAAGTCATTTTAGTAAAATATGGAAATAAGAAAGATCACTCAGTCTAGCAACTCCCTTATATTAGATTTTTATCTGTGTCTCTTCCATTAACGTTACTTTAAAACCTTTAGTAGTACTTTTAATGCAGAGTCACATCTGTTGCATACCTTGGCATTAATCTGTCTTTTTGTCTGCCTACCAATAGATAACAAATACTCATGCACGCATATGGTTTTTTGTATGTCCATTATTTAATTTATTTAGAAAAACCCTTAGATTCACAGTTTGATTTCCTCTACACTCCAGTACATTTCTGTACCTGAAGTACTAGGTTTACTCATGCTGATGCAAATGAAAATATATTAATTCTTATGGTCTTAAATTGGTTAGGGAATTGCAGTTATTTCCCAGTGGAACGTTGTGTTATTGAGTTCTGGACTGGACTAGTAGATAATCTGTAACATCATGTTTTCTTGACTTCATTTTTAAAAAATTTGATGTTTTAAAAAAAGATCCAACCCAAACAATGACAGCTGCCAACCAAACCCTAATTTACTGTCACCACAAACCCTAAATAGCATTCATTTACTAGTAATGCCTAATGGCATACATGATGGTTTGCCAGATTTGTGGCCTTTGTGAGGCATATAAGCAGGACTGACTTGGGAAGATCATAAAACTTAATGAACTTCTCGACTGCAGGAGGTGTCCGCAGGGGAAGAGAAAGCCCTGCTTGGCTGGTTGGGCTGGTTGAACTATTTTTTATGTCTAAAGAGAGAGGAAGAAAATGATCATTAAAGATGTTCTGCCCTCGTGCAGAGTTTTATTTCATAGAGTGAAAAAATTTAGATGTGAAAAACAGATGAAGAGTGAAGTTAACCATGAGATTAATTTCTTGCTGTTCGCCATGTAAGCTAGAAACCTTTTTTTTTTTATTACTACAACTAAAACCAGCCATAGAATGCCACTCTGATGATTAAAGAGCTAGATCATGTCCTCACTGGTAGCATAACTCCCTAGTGAGGTGTGTGTCCCAACTTTGAGGCTTTTATGAGCACCCCTGGTCAGTATGTTGTGAAATCCTTAAACTACCCATTAGGTAACCAGCATTCGAAAGACCTACAGTCCCTCCCTCCCTCCATCTATCCCCCTGCTTGCAGTAAGAATATGAAAATATGAATCCCTTTCTCATTTGGAGTAGGTTATTTTTAACCTGGATTACCAGGTTGTTTCCTTACGTTATATTAATTTCAATTTTTCAGTGTTTGCAAACTATCACGTCATGTCAACAATTTGCAGTACAAAGAAACAATCTTTAACTGAACTTTGAAGAATAAATAATGTGAAACAGTGAAATGACATAATTCTAATTTATATATTGTAGCTATTTTTAACTATGAATTCTGATGCTGTTCTTATTAAATTGAGCTATTTTTAAGTATATATTAACATTCAATACCGATGTTCTTGTAAAGATGCTTGTCTAATTTTTAATTTACCTGGACTAGAACAGAAAATAGTGTGTATTAAAAAATCTCCATCTTTATTTAGGATTGCTTACTCTTTGTTTTAATTTTCCTGTGGTTTTAACATTTAGATTTTTAAAATAATAATAAACTAAAATCTTGAATGATATAGTCAAAAATTGACATTAAACATATTCCAAGTGATTAAAATGTTAAGCGAGTTTCACCACCCTAATGGTAATGACATCACTTTTCTTCATAAACGTTTTACTAGTAAAAATTAAATTGAATGAAGTATATGATTGTCAGTTTGTCATCTGTTTCAAGCGTGCATTTAGAGAGAGAAAATACTATCTCCATGGTGGTGCTTTAAAAGTGAGATTTTTTCTGGGTTTTTTGGCTAAGAAAATAGGGCAGTGCTTGTTGTTTTCAGCCACACAAAAAAATGCATTACATTATGTCTTAGAAGACCTGTTACTACATACTACCTTTATGCCATGTCATTTTAGTGCTCCTTGATATATTTAAATAACAAGCTGCAACTTGATTACAGGGTTCCCTGTTTCCAGACCATTTTTTTTGCCCTGCGTATAACATAAAATTAGACTTGGTTGTCAATACTAACCAAGTAGGAGCAGGTAATTCTTTTATTTTCTGCCTCATTTTTAGTGGGCTTAATTTTATTCTTAAATTTGAAACAGGCTTGCTTACTTGTAAATATTTTTAGATGATTGTGAGCTACCCTACCACCTGGTTTATATCATGATGTTTATTGTAACAAATCATTTTTGCCAATTCAAGAATAAATTAATATAATGGTAGGTAATGATGCAAGCTAGACCATCCTTTATTTTACAGATTTAATAGATTTGTCTGCTCAATTCCTTCAGCTTTCAATGAAAGAAACAAACTTCCATGATATGGATATTATACTATCTTTATTCAATTTAAATATTGATTTGTGTGAAACATTATTGTAATGATATTTGCAGTCAAGCTTAGACAAATATATTCCGAATTAAATGGATTCTAAATATAATAAAAATTAAATATCTGTGCAGTGTATGTTAATAGTAACATAGGAAAGTGAAATAGTTCCGTTTGTATTTATTTTTATATTGTTAGAGTATTTT